GCTCTTGACTGAAAATCAAAACATAATGGCACTGTAAATAGCAAATATTTGACTTCCCTGTAACTTTCACCAGAGTCGGTAATAACTAAAAGCGGATCACTTATTAAAAAAGAAATAAAAGAGGCTATAGTCTTAATATCTGTATTTAATTACAGTAACCTTCCCAACCTGGTGACTTCAAATGATAAAGTTGCCAGAATTTCCACTTAACACAGTCATTGTGCATGCTAATTAAGGTTTTAGCTGTTGAAGCCTGACATATCTAAAAAAAATCAGGCTGAGGAAAACTGAAGGGATGAGTTCACACCATTGTGCAAAGTATGTTGTTTTGACTGTGGTTTGTTGAACAAGCCATTGTGAAAGTATTTATATATCAAACAAATATATAAAACATAGTTTAGAAACATACTAAGTTAAAGCCAAAAACCTACTCTAAAGATTATCAAGAGGGGTGAATCCAGCCATGGTTTTCTTTTTTTTTTTTAATTTTTAAAATTTTTATTAATTTAAGAAACCACATAATACATTTATAAATGCAAATAAAACAATTTACAACAAACATCATCTTTATAACATCTACCTATAATATCTGAATTGTTACAATATCAATATCCTATATTCTTCAATATACAATATTTCTCTCACCTTATATAATGATATTATTTTATTGATATCTCGTGTCTCTTCCTTAAATTTCATTTGATGTAAAAATTTATTTTACTCTATTGATATCTTTTCTTTTATTTAATTTTTCTTTCTTTCTTCTTCTCTTTTTTTCCCACTTCCCTCTAACCATTTATACCATTTTTGCCAGACCAGATAATATTCAGATTCTTCTTTTCCTTGGATCTCCTTGGTAAGTTTATCCATCTCAGCGCATTCCATAATTTTGGATATTAATTTCTCTTGAGTCGGGACCTCTTTTTGTTTCCAATTTTGTGCGTATATAATTCTTGCTGCAGTCAAAATGTGTGTTATTAAATATATTATTTCTTTTTCATATTTGCTTGTATTTGCTTGTATTCCTAATAAATAAGTTTCTGGCTTTAATGGCACCTTTTGAGTTATTATTTGTTCCAGTTGCATTTTTATATTGTTCCAGAATTTTTTAGCTTTGGGACATGACCACCATATATGATAGTATGTCCCTTTATGCGCTTTACATTTCCAACAGAGTGGAGATGTGCTGGGAAACATTTTAGAAATTCGCGCCGGTGGTAGATGCCACCTATAGAACAATTTATAAGCATTTTCTTTGTATGGTACAGATAATGTTAATTTATTAATATTTTTCCACAATTTTTCCCACTTATTTAATTCTATTGCATACCCAAAATTTGTCGCCCATGTGATCATATTCTCTTTAACTACTTCCTCTACTAGTTTATATTCCAATAGAAAATTATAAATTTTGGTTATTAATTTCTCATTGGGGCCTAATTTTATCCAACTGATTTGGTTCCATTTGAATTCCAGTTTTTTCCATATCAGATTTATATCTGGATTTTAATTGCAAATATGACCACCACTCTATTTCCACATTTTGCATTCTCAATTCTTCTCTTGTTTTTAGTTTTCCTTCTTCATTTAAGATGTCCTTATATGTTTTTAATTTATTTGTATCTATTGTATTTGGATAAATATGTGCTTCCATTATGGAAGTCCACCTAGGAATCCTATCATAGTGATATTTTCTGATTTCATTCCATATTTTAAGCCATGGTTTTCAAGGCAAGGTGGCAGATCCTTAATTTACACCTTAACAGATGCTGAGATGGTTCCTGAGCTCTCAATATCTGTAGGAACTGCTGGAATGAAGAAAATGATTAACCTTCATTTTCTAATAGAAAATCCAGTTAGTACTTGGATTGGAATAATGTTCATTCTTACAGATGTTTGGTTCGAAATGTCAATTTTATATCCAAAGACTAGTACAAGACTTTTTTATCCACATAATTTTCTTGTCCTCTTTCCAACAGTTCTTCCCCGTCTGGCTAACTACCAAATGCTTCTGCTGAATCCCATTCAGAACTAGTATTTCACCGATTTAAGACCAAGCTATGCCAAGATCATCTGCAGGATTTGTGTAGTGTTTGACCTGAGTTCAGAAATGCAAAACAGACATGAATAAAGCTACTTAAAATTAACGTTTTATTTCTCCACCGCTTATGAAAGGGAATGAATGAAAGAGAAGTTTCCAATTATCCTCACTAGTGTCATTACCTGAATCTTCCAAAGCAAAAAAATGTCATAAATTTATTGCAACAATATAGTGTGTACAGGAATAATAATGGTACTTTAATGTTCTTTTAAATAGCTGGGCTGGGAATTTTCTGCAGTCCTTGCTTCCATGTAGGGATTGATTAGAAAACAGAGCAATCTGATGCAATATAAAGTGCAAAATTCATTTCTAGCACATGCCAACATCTCTCATTTTAGTCTGTGTTTTCAGAATCATTCATTAGGAAAGCCTACACTATCAGGTTTCTGATATACCCTGGGAGAAAGTATGATTCCTGCTATCAATTCAGCTATAAGATTAAACAGAACACCACTTTATATCAACTAACTTAGAAGAAGATGCTTTCAAGATGTTTACGCTACTAGATTATTCTACCTGATTTCATTTCAATTGACTTTATCCAGCAATGTTGCTTAAATAGCTCAATATTCACTGCCTTACAAATCTCCATATTTTATTCCTACTAGGGTGGGTGTCGGCAACCCATGGCTCCGGAGCTGCCTGCAGCTCTTTCATCCTTCTGCTGCCGTTCCCTGTCACAGCAGAGGGAAGAAAGAATGTCGCCATGTTGCGGTGGTGGTGATGGCTATGGCTGGAGTCTTAGTGTGGGAGTGAAGAGTCCTCGTCAGGGCCGGATTTTCCTATAGGCTAACTAGGCTTCAGCCTAGGGACTCAAGATCAAGAGGGGCCTACATTCAAATTGTTAGCAAAATTAAAATTACACTTTCACTATAGGTGAAAGGGCCTCATAAGTGGAATAGCCTAGGGCCTCTTTTCATCTAAATCCGGCCTTGGTCCCCGTACTTGCCTTTGCACAGCAACAGGATTCCACCTTCATCCTGATACATTTGCTTTTGCCGCCAGCAGAGGGCTGGGAGAGAACAGCGGGATTGGATGTTGCGGGGTGGGGGGCATTTCCCCAGGTCTGGCCTTCCTTCTCCCTTATCGACAGGGCCAAGAGAAAGGCAGGGTGGCATCGGGAAGCGCTCCCTCCCCTGGCTGCGCGCCAAGCACAAAAGCCCAGTGGAGGTTGGCTGGTCTTGCAAAAGCGTTCCTATTGGCAAGTTGGATGGTGGTGTTTTCTGTGAGAAATGAGTCCAAATGGCTCTTTGAGTGTTTAAGGTTCCTGACCGCTGTACTAGGCGATATGAATATGTTTGAATAGATTAAAACAATTTTGATTTCAGTAGTGGATACTGTATTTCTCAAAATAAGGAGCCAAAAGTTTTTCCTCTTTTCTTCTCAGAGAGAATTTTCTCTTCTTGAGAAAATTCTCATTTCTGTATTGTTTTTAATACAACAACATTAAAATGTATGGACTTCAGCTCCTAGAATTCCCCAAACCATTTAAGAAATTCTGGAATCGGTGTACACACATTTAATATGTTGACTTGTTGAGTTTAAGAAACACTAATTTAAAGCTATCTAACTTGTATGTTGTTCAGTTTTCCAACTAGGTTCTTCTTTACTTCAAAATCAGCCACATCTATCCCTTCTGGATTTTCACTGAAAATGTTTTAAAATTCAATTTTTAAAAATCTAATAAACTTAGTGTTCACTGTAGATATTAGTTTTCACTATTAGATGATTTTATTTTTCATTTAATGAAGTTAGTGTTCACTGTAGTTTGGGTTCCTATCAATACCTACTTGTTTTTCAGTGTGCAAAATCTGCAAATGTAAGAAATTTGTTAAATTATGGGATCATTCCCTATAGATGAGATCTTAAACTTAAGCATGTTGAGGTGAAAAGAGGCTAGAGACCTTCAGATTAACCTGTCATGTGCTAATGCTTGGACTATTGGTAATATTGCCAGGTTGGAAAAGTAAAGAAAGTTGTAAAACTTTCTCTTTCAAAAATCTGAAAAAAACCTCAACACAGTTTATTTATTTATTTATTTTTAAATTTCTATACCGCCCTTCTCCCTGAGGACTCAGGGCGGTGTACAGCCAAAATTAAAAAACATGCAGTATAGTTAGTGTCAATAAAAGGTTAACACTTTATGGAAAGCCAGACTATTAAATGTGTCTGCAGACTGTAAAAATAAAAGATGTCACAACCATGGATTACCATTTAAATTGTTTGAGGAGAACTCTAGTGTCCCTAAATTTTTCGAAAACATATTAGATACAGCCACCCACCCCCTGAACACAAAACAATGAAATTTCAACCTTTTATCTTAACACAATTTTGTGAAGTGGGCATAATCAACCCTTATTTTCTAGCCTAAAATTTTCTGAACCCAAAGCCCTCCACTTCAGATGGGGCAATCTCTCCGAGAACCCCAAGCCTACAGTCAAGGAAGCTATAATTTCCAACCATTTGGAAGTCATTAGGTTTGCGGAGGGGATCACCAGACTATATCCTGTTTGTTTTGAATGCTTTAATGGTGTAGCGGAGCAGGAAGCACACCAAGTGCATCTTAGCACCAGGAGACTGTTTTGGAAAACTGTCGCGGGTCCATGAAGGCAGCACGCACCTTGGGCGCTCAGGCAATCAGAATCAGATTTCCGCACATTCTAAACTGTTGTAAACCACGGCTATTAATTTGGGCAGACAGGCGACGACGACCTACAACAGTAGGGTTGGGGAAGGGGAAGGGGAAGGCCACGAGGAATCCCAGTCTGTTCCCTATGTTAAAATTTATGAGTGCTTAATCTCCGGTCCACGGATTTCTATTTCTCTCCCCTTCTCCCCTTGTCTTGCCTAGACGGCAATCCGGTTGTTTAGCTACGCTCCCTTCGCTACCCCTCCCTCCCGCCTCTCCCCCCAACCCCGCGCCGCCCTGGTCCGGCTGTCTCCTTCCAATCCGCTGGATCTGGCCTTTCTCCCGCTCCCCTCCTTCCACCCGATCTCCAGGTCTAGCGAGTCCCCGGGGGCGAAGTGTGGGAAGTGCGAGTTTCCGCTCCGATTGTCTGTCCCTGGCCGCCACCCCCGCCTGGCTTGCAGGCTTCGAGAGCAGCCGCTCAGACACAGGCAGGAGAGGGTCGCGGGGAGCCAGAGCCCATCGCGAGGGCGCGGCGGCAGGAGCTGCACGATCTGCAGGCGACGGAGCTTTCGGACAGGGTCTGGAGAAAGGAGCCGTCGGCGCTGTGAGCGGCTGGTGGCCTGCGTTGCACTCGGACCTGGGTTCGGAACCCGACTCAAGCCGCCGCCTACAAGGAGGGGATGCCGGAGAGACGCCGAGGGAACTGGGGAAGAAGCCCGCCGCTCGCCCTAGAGAGATGGAGCCGCCGCCGCTGCTGGTCCAGCTCAGAGTCCTCCTGATGCAACTGCTGGTCGCCTACTCTCTCTTAGTTCTGCTTCCGCCGGCTGTGGCGCCCATCTGCCCGGAGTCATGCGACTGCCAGCAGCAGCAGCACGTCCTCTGCACCAATCGGGGACTGCGGTCGGTGCCCAAGGCCGTTGAGCCACAGGACATCCTCACCTATAGCCTGGGCGGCAATTTCATTGCCAATGTTTCGGCTTTGGACTTTCACCGCTTGGTGGCACTGCAGCGCCTAGATTTGCAGTATAATCGGATCCGTTCGCTCCATCCGAAAGCCTTCGAGCGCCTAGGGCGTCTGGAGGAGCTTTACTTGGGCAACAACCTCTTGGCTTCCTTGGCGCCCGGCACACTCCGCCCATTGGCTAAACTGCGAGTCCTCTATATCAACGCTAACGAGATCGGTTATCTAAGCACGGCTTCTTTTGCTGGTCTAGGCAATCTGATCAAGCTGCGGCTGGACGGCAATTTGCTGGCCTCTCTGAGCGATGCCACCTTTTCAGGACTAACCAACCTGCTGTATTTGCATCTGGAGGCCAACCAGATCCGTTGGCTGAGCCGTAATGCTTTTGCTGGCCTTGGCAAACTTCGTTTCCTTGACTTGTCTGGCAACCAGCAGAATTTGCTGCGCCACCCAGACACCTTCAGGTCTCTGCGCTTGCTTAGCACCCTCCTGCTCTCTGGGAATGACATGCAACAGCTAGGGAAAGGACTCTTCCAACATCTCTCCAACTTGGCCAGGTTGTCATTGAGTGGAAACCGCCTGACGTGGTTGGCAGTGGAGGCTTTTGCTGGTCTGGGGTCCTTGAAAGAGTTGCACTTGGAAGGGAACCTGCTAAGCCAACTGCCTGCCACCTTATTTCAGCCTCTGCAAAGCTTGGAGGTGTTGGATCTGAGTAACAACCTCCTCACTACTGTTCCTGCTGGCACCTTTAGTCCCCTAAATAAGTTGCGGGAGCTCAGTTTGCAGGGAAATGCCCTGGCTTCCCTGTCTGGAGACCTCTTTACCTCCAACCCAGCATTGTATCGCTTGGAATTGGATGGGAATCCCTGGAGCTGTGATTGCCACTTGCGAGGGCTGAAGCAGTGGCTGGCATCCTGGCATTCCCAGGGCCGTCTCCTGACTGTGTTTGTCCAGTGCCACTGGCCACCTGCCCTGGCTGGGAAATACCTTGATTACTTAGAGGATGTGCAACACTTCTCGCTTTCTAATGGCTCTTGTTTGGAAGGGTTAACATCTGCAAGCCCTGGAGGCAATGGTAACTCTAATTTAGACCTGGGCCTGGATAAACAGAGCTCCCCACCTTCTGTTTCAACTGGGTTGCTAACGGGGTCCCAGAAGATGGTATCCGAAAAGGGAAGTTGGAATGTGGAGACCAATCCAACCACCCTGTTGCCCAGCTTTCTTGTCAGTACTAGGTCTCCCTCTGTACTTGCTGCCGCCTGGCCTCGGCGAGCGGGAAAACACCACTTGGTCTCCTCGGTGTCTAGTACCCTTCCTCTGGTCACCGATCCATGTGATTTTAACAAATTGTTTTTGTACAACCTGACAGTGGATACTGTCACTGAGAGTGCAGTGACAGTGCACTGGGGGGTCCGCCCACACCGCAGCCCTCGCTTGTTAGGGCCAGTACGCTTCAGAGTCCTTTTTGATCGCTTTGGCACTGCCATCAAGTTCCAGCGCTTTGTTTATATCCCTGAATGGAATGAGCCGGTAGCCACTCTGCGAGAATTGCGTCCAGATACCCCATATCTGGTTTGTGTGGAAGGAGTGATGGGGGGCCGGGTCTGCCCAGTGGCACCACGGGACCACTGTGCAGGGTTGGTCACTTTGCCTGAAGAGGGTGTGGGGGCAGCAGTTGCTGCGATGGCTGGGGGGACCCAAAGCTTGGACCAGCAGCTCCTCACCCTTGTGCTACTGGCAGTCAATGCACTACTACTCTTCCTGGCTTTGGCAGCCTGGGCTTCCCGCCTGGTGCGGAAGAAGGTTCTAGGGTGCCGTCGGAGAAAGGCAGCCTCACCAGTCCATGTTAGGCAGATGTATTCCACCCGTCGGCCCCTCCGGTCCATGGGGACTGGCGTCTCCACCGACTTTTCTGGCTTCCAGTCCCACCGTACACCGCGTAGTGCTGTTTGTGCCTTGCGTGAGGCTGACCTCATTGAGTTCCCTTGTGAACGCTTCATGGATAGTAGCACTGCAGGGAACAGCAGTGTCCTACGTGGAGAAGATAATTTGTTGCAACGGTTTGCAGACTAGAGATGGGGCTCTAAGCTAATTTGCAAGTATGTTATCATGAAGTGGCTGCTGGCATTATGATTTAGTGAAGTCTGTGGGAATGCAGCTTCTGCAAAGGTGGCCCCCCATATTGCAAAATTACAACTCCCAACAGCCTTAGTTAGCATGGCAAATTGTAAAGGGTGCAGGGAATTATAGTTCAGCAATAACTAGACTACTCACTGTTTCTGATCTTCCTATCCTATCTTTAGATCTGCAAAAATATATGTATATATAAAGATGGCTGATTAAAAATGGGACAACTCCTGGAGTAAGATATACTTAAAAAAAAAAAAAAGCAAAAACGGTTTTCCTGAATTTACTGTTTACTTAGATAATTTGCAGTCTATGATTCTCTAAAAACCAATCAGAATGGGAACCTACTACACTCTTAAATTGCCATAGTTGTGGCTAAATGGGCATTGATCTCTATTTGTGAATTAAGTAGATACTAATAGAAAAAGAATTTTAGTTGTCTAATCATCAGTTGTCAAATAGATACAGAATCTAACAATTCCTAACTTGTTGATGTAACTCTGTAGCTACTCAGTATTATCCTTGGGTAAAAAATGAACTAAAATAACTGGAATCAAACAAAAAAGGGTACAGAAAGTTTTATGCAAATGTTTGAAGATGTACAAATTTGGGGCCATTTCAGGTTACATCAGATTCTCGCTTTTGCACCATTTATTTAAAACTGATATAAACAAGATCAGGCCAGAAAATTTTATTTTCAGTGTCACTTGCCACTATATAGATCTGCAAAAATCTGCACAACCATAAAAGTTGTGAAAAGATACAAAGATGTAGCTCCTTTGTGTCATTTCATGGTTATCTGCATTTATGGAGACCAGATATAATAGCATTAGCAATTGGATGGTGCAAAAAAGTATTCTATTTAATACATCCTAGACAGTAGAGATATCATTTCTTCAGACACAGAAATTTCTATAAACATGGAGCCTAATGGTTGGAGCCTTTTGCATGCTAGTTCTGACTAGGCTTTGCAAACATTGAGAGCAACAGGAGAGGAATCAGTATAATTATTATTGCTTTTAAATAAAACTCTTCTCAGAGAAGAGGCTGTTAAGTGTCACTCCCTTGATGGATAGCTGAGATTCTCCTGGGTATAACTGAAAGTACAATTCAACTTTTGGTAGATGCCTGTTGGCAGTTTGCATCAATGGTATTTCCTCAGCTGATGTTACTCTTATCTAGAATATGTATTTAGGATGAGCCAGATTTGCTTCTTGCTTTTCAAAAAATGTGAATCCCAATTACTACTATGATGCAGGGAATATTCTTGAATTTGTGCTATTAGACACTGATTTTTAATTCTCACCAGCTCTTCCAAATTATAGTTTTAGATTAAAAATATTTTTTTTCTAGAAGGGCTTTGAAAACATGTTTAACTTGTGACCTAAGAATGGTGCTTTTTTATACTGACCAGGGCTTTCTTTTATTAAACGAATGTAAGAAATTTTAGTGTATGTTTATATAACATGTTAAAATAAATAAATAAAAAGATGAAGAAAGGGAGGAATAAAGGAAGGAATGTTAATTTTGCAAAATTCAGATGTCGACACTGCTAGGGAAAAGAATCCTAATCCAATTTGTTATAATTTGTTTAGAATTTTTTTTACAGTGGTCTTAAATAAATACTTTTTGGTACTTCTACAGTTTTGCCTATTTTTTAAAAAAATCTTGTTATTCATAAATGATTTTGAATAGAGATATAGGAGCTTTCAGCTAAACTGGAGAAAGTAGATTATGTTGCTGTCCTATGATTGTTGTGCAGCAACACTATCCTCCCCAATATTACATAATGAGCCACTAAACCTTGCTAGGTTTCTGGAAAGTTGCTCAGGAATTGGAAGAATTTCCTTAGAAGATACTTCTATCCAGTGGTGGGATTCAAGTAATTTAACAACCGGTTCTCTGCCCTAATGATTTCTTCCAACAACCAGTTTGCCAAACTGCTCAGAAAGTTAACAACTGGTTCTCCCGAAGGGTGCGAACTGGCGGGATCCCACCACTGCTTCTATCCCATTTGGAGGAAATTCCCTCTTCTTCCTCTGCACTTCAGCCCCATTGAGCAGAGGTTACTGGCCTAGTGAAAAGCATTTTTGGATAAATGCATGGGCTGCAAGGGAAGAAAAATATATAGAGAAGCACACATTGTGATTTTCATGATAGAAATGTCACCCTCTCTATAATGCCTTGGTATGACCATACTTGGAATACTGCATCCAGTTTTGGTCACCATGATGTTAAAAAGATGTTGAGACTCTAGAAAGTGTAGTGAGAAGAGCAACAAGATATTAGGGACTGGAGGCCAAAACATATAAAGAGCGGTTGTTGGAACTGAGTATATCTAGTTTAATGAAGAGGAGGACTAGGGGTGACATGATAGCAGTGTTCCAATATCTCAGGGGTTGCCACAAAGAAGAAGGAGTCAAGCTATTCTCCAAAGCACCTGAGGGCAGGACAAGAAGCAATGAATGGAAACTAATCAAGGAGAGAAGCAACCTAGAACTAAGGTGAAATTTCCTGATAGTTAGAACAATTAATCAGTGAAACAACTTGCCTCCAGAAGTTATGGATGCTCCAACACTGGCAGTTTTTAAGAAGAGATTGGACAACTATTTGTCTGAAATAGTATAAGGTTTTGTACCTGAGCAGCGGGTTGGACTAGAAGACCTTCAAGGTCCCTTCCAACCTTGTTATTCTGTTGTATGGAGCGCAGGACAGACTTACTAGATTCATGCATCTTTAGTCATGACATCACATATGCTGTATAAACCCACCCATGAATGCCTATATGATATGCTAATCCCAAGTATTAGAGTTCAGTTTAAAATGGAAACAAAATAGATATTTACTTATAACTCATTTTCAAGTGTATTTCTGATTTAAATCTTAATTTGAAGAAACACAAGGAGATGAGTATTGCATTTTTAATTAAATTGATGTCTTGTAGTGTGTAATATTGTTCGAAGAGAAGATAAATTATGTTTATTAATCATGTTTGGTATGCCACCAGATTCCCTAAATTGAACCCAAGTAAAAAAAATACATTTCAAACAGTCCATCATGGCATCTTAATGGACCTTCTCAAAAATGAACTATGAGACAAAAGCTAAAATTCTAAATATTGGCAAATAATATTGTTCGAAGAGAAGATAAATTATGTTTATTAATCATGTTTGTATGCCACCAGATTCCCTAAATTGAACCCAAGTAAAAAAAATACATTTCAAACAGTCCATCATGGCATCTTAATGGACCTTCTCAAAATGAACTATGAGACAAAAGCTAAAATTCTAAATATTGGCAAATAATATCCCCATGTGACTAAAATTATCTTAGTTAAATTGGTAATGCTGTTAATCTAGGCAACATTTCAGTTTCAGTGTAGAGTGTTCTGATAATACTCAGAACCTCCAGGGAAGAAGTGAACAGGAACTAAACTGAGATTATTGTCTACATTTGGAATGTAGTGACTCCTAATTGAAATTTCAGATATCCACTTGTTAAATAAGAGAACCATAAAGGTTCCCCAGCTTCAAAATCAGATTGCTGATATTAAACAGCATGAAAAACTGGAATGTAGGGAATATAGAAAAACAGTAATTGATGCTAAAACACATTTATACTCAGAGATACTCTGAGTAGCTGTTCTGTTTTGCACACAATTCCCATTTTTGGATTTTGAAATTCTAAAACAAACTATATTGAAACTTGTTCTTCCCATCCATACTAGTAAATATAAACTTGGCTTTTCTGCTAATTAGATTATCTGATGTTAATACAACACGCTTTGTAAATTCCACATGAAATAGTGCTTGTTAATCTCAAAATTCAGGAGTCTTGCAGAAGAAAATCTTGGCTCTATAAAACTTTCATATATGAATGCGAACTCTATAAACAATAGGTCCATTTTTCATCTAATCTGGCTACTCTGCAACTGTATGAATAATATTTTTAACGGAGTCTGACAATAAAGCTATCCTTGCCTTGATACTTCATACTGGTTCTTAACTAAAGGAAAGTGACACCTGTCACTTCATCGTATGTGCAATCATTTAACTTTTTGGGAGGGGGCGGTGTTACACTTTATTAATTTTATCATAATTTATTTATCTGATTATTGTGATTCTCCCAGAATTATTGAGAATTGGGGAGTATACAAGTTTGATAAATTATTATTATATTACCACTACTATCAAAACAGTCCAGCCATCAGTGATGAGAGGGTAGTAGAAGGAATGTCAACATAACAAATTTCAACTTTCACAAATATGGTCAAAGTTCTTGCCTCCCTCTCTTGAACATAGTTCTGGCCCGAAGACATTGTGCAATGTTGCATACAAAATTCTAGTCCTTCATTATAATTAAACCTTGGGAACTACTGGTAGTCCTCACTTAACAACTGTCCTGTTTAGCAACTATTCAAAATTATAACAGAAGTGAAAAAATAACATTATGTCCAGTTGTCCCATTTATGGCAGCGTCCCATGGTCATGAGATTGTCATTTCTGCACTTCAGATTTCCAACAACCGGAGTCAATGGAAAGCTGGCAGTAAAATCACATCTTGATTGTGTGATATCTCAACGATTTGCTTAAGAAGCACAATGGAAGTAAAATCATAAGTCCATCATAGGCATATGATAACTCACTGCATTGCTTAGCAGTTCCAACTATAATGATGAAGTGAGTACTAGCTGTTCAGCCTTAAATTTAACTGTACTTCTTTGAGGCAATATTCATAAGGTCGAAATCACTGCATTCCAATCAAAATCAATCCTTTATTTGTTTACTCCTAATGGACAGAATCTTGCCAGACTAAATCTATACCCTTATATCTTGCTAGATACATCATGAGAAATTCTAGGAGTAACTGTGTCTACCCAGAGTCTCTTTCCCCCTTCCTGGGACTGTGTAGTATCTTAATGTAACCCTCTTTCTGGAAAAGCTTTTTTGCCAAACCTCTCCCACATGGCTCCTTGAGGTGTACCTTTCAGTACAATAGATTTGGTTATCTAATGCTAAAGTTTAAACATTGAGTATAGATAAGTATGATCCTATCCAATCTGATGCTCTTCCATGTGTATTTGGTTTCAATATTCACAATTCCTAATCACCAGATGATAGCAGATGTAGGATGGATGGATAACATAGAATCTTGTATTATGCGTAACACCTATTTTCAAAAGAAAGGTGATAGCTGTTTGCATATGCCAATAAACCCAAGGTTTCCAGAAGTATAAAATGTTACAGATAAGTAATTTAATAAAGACTGAATATATTCACCATAGCACAATTAGTAATGGAAAACTTGGCCTGGAAAGGATAGTATTTTTTTTTTAAAGGACATGGCTAGAATACTGAATAAAAGCATTCCATAATAAGAATGATTAATGTGAATTAGTAACCTCAAAGTCTTTTATATTCACTCTTCTGCTGAATCAAAAATTAAATGGGAAAATGCCATTTAAATGTGTACTTAGGCTGCCTGGAGGGGAATTAATTCATGTTACTGTTAAGAATATTTATTTGAAATTAATAGTTCCATTTGCTTATGTTTATATTTTGCATACAGCTATTTCATTACTGTAGTGCAAATTGACAAACAAAAAATATTATAAGTGGACCTACTAAAAATGGTCTCTTTAATGTGTGTGTGTGTTTTGTGTGTGTGTGTTTGTATATACCCACATATGTACTTGTGTATGCACAAACTGGAAAGAGAAATTTCATTCATTCATTGCTGCTGTTTGGTTCCTTCCTATGCAGAAGATACCAAAGTAAGGGCAGGAAACAAGATTTCCTGACTGCCTTCACCACAAGGCCTCCCGATGAGCCATGTAGTGATGTTTCCTGCCCTTACTCTGACATCTGCTAGGTTTGAAAACAACAAGGATTAGGAAGCTCAGGGCCAGAAAGTGGGAGGGGACATAACTGTTACAATCATCACACGAACATGCAAACAAACAGTGGGTAAGATCTCTTAATTGTCACTTCATAGAGAGGAAGTGGCAGGATTTCTTCTTGTCCCAATATAGCCACACATTTTCAAGTAAAATGTTAATCCCTTTTAACACAGATTCTTTTGTATTTTAGAAAAGGAAATGAAGCAAAAAGATACCCATGTAGGAAAATTTCAGGGAAAATATAGTGAAGTGGATCTCACACTCAAATTGTCATAAGTGTCTCATGTGGACTATTCTAGTAACTGGAGGGCTACAAGGTTGTTTTGACATATGTTGTCATATCACTAATTAGTGGGGTGGAAAAATTCAAATCTCCTCTCAAACGTGGATTTCACTGGATGACTTTAGGACCATACCTGTCTCACAGGTGTTTGGTGGGAATAAGATCAGGAACCCTACAATATAAACAGGATTTAGTTATCAGAGGAAAGAACGTATGCTTTCTGTCTGTTTCTGTGTGATGTTATTTATTATTATTGATGTTGAAACATGTTACGTATAATAGTTCATATAGTGCCTGAAACAATCTTTTTGTTTCAAGCCAATTACATTTTCTATACATCTTAGTGGGAATTCAGGCTATCATTTATAAAATCCAACCAATCTCAATAAAATATTCCCCAGTTTGTTTTTTAAGCACATTACCAGATCTTTATCAAGCAAAGAAATCAGCCAACCAAATCTTTATCAAATAATTTTTCAAGAGAAATATTGAAAGCAGGTAAATAATATATTTCTTGCATCCTACATTACATTCAATATATGTAATAAGTCTAAATTTAGTGAGCATTCAATCTTATGGGCATTGCTATCATTTCATTAAAGATTTCTTTTCAAACTTTCTCAAATTTATTTCATTCCCAGCAAAAATGGGGAGTGGAAGTCCCTCAGTACATCATAAAATAATTATATGGTATATGTGAAATTCTTATAGGGGTTAAACGCCACTGATGTAAGATCTTAAGATATAATTCTTGTATTGAAGTACATAAAAATTCTTCAGATTTCCACAAAGCTTGCCACATTGCATTATATAATTATTTTGCCTAAGTCAGACTCCCAAACTTATTTCAAGCCTGTAATATAGTTATTTAGACTTAATTCCAACAAGTTTCAGTGACTACTAATATTATACCTTCTTCACTATATGACTGTAAATAAAATAAAAAAGCTTTTCTAGCTTTAGGCCTAATTAGGCCTAAAACAGCCTAATTTTTAATTTCTAAAAATTGGACAGTGGGTATTGAATGCGTTCCATCATCCCTAAGTTCACATCCAATGCTCTGGGCCAAGTATTCTTAACTCTTTCATTAATGGCAGAAGCAGAGTGGAGAAATTGCTTTAATAGATGGACTGGCAACTCTTGCATGCAAAAGTGTGATTTCATCTGGATAAACATTCAACACAGGGGACTTTTCTGGCTTCTGATGTAGTTCGTTCCATTCCTGTCTTTTGCTGCCTTGCTGCTGCCAGAAACAATCTGCCGGCCTCTCTGATTCATACGGTTGCATTTCTCATAGAGCAAATTCTTGGCTGCTAAGACAAGAACACATGACGTGTATCTTCAGAAATGTTTCCCCAGATACAGATGATACCAAGGTTTTCTGAATAATTCCTTACTCTCTGTGGTAAACAAAGTGAGGCATAAGTGCAATATTGTATCCTGGAGAAGAGACAGCTGTAACTTTGAATGAATATTATTTATCCTTTATTTATTAAACAAATTAAGCCTAATTTGGGAAAAGAGACAATCTAATTACGCAGATACTTTATTCCAATTAAATGCATTGTTTTTTTCAGGTAGCCATTATACCATGTGCAAAGAAAGCATACTGTAGAGAAATTGGACCAAAGTCATGCTACATACAGTATCCAGCTGTATTTTCCAAATTAATTTTCTGGTATGTTAAGAGTTCTGTTATTCCACCTGCCATTCAAAATGGCATACCTAACATTCAGTGGTTCAATTTTTTTCTTAACAGCTAGCCTGTAGTTGGGACAATGGGTCTAAAATCCAGTTTTATCCCAACATCTTAACCCAATGTTTCTCAAGCTTAGCAGCTTGACAATCAAAGGACTTGGCTGGCTGGAGAATTCTGAAAAATTTAAGTCTACACATCTTCAGGTGGTTAAGGTTCACCACTCGACTTGTGTGTCCCTATCATTTAGGGATCCTTGGGCAAAGCCACCATATTTGTTGCACATTCACCTGTGCTGCTGTAAAGCACATCACCTCCTACAATTGTTGTATGAAGATCATGCTATGGCTGGCTATACAGTCTCTTCGGCTGAGAACATTTGTATTTGTCATCCATAGGATTGTGCATTGAAACTAAGATGGTTGTTTTGGTTTATATTATATGAACAAATAAAAGCTGACAGGGATGTCTCTATTATGTGATCCAAAAGGTGAAGATGAAGCCACAACTGAAGCCTCAATCTTACTATCATAGTCATTATCTTCACTTTTTTCCCCTGGACCATGCAGAAGTCCCTAAAGCTGATTAAACACTTCTTCGCCAGCTATTCCCAACAAATTTAAGGCTTGAATAAATTATAGTAAAATCAGACTGATGTCTTTGAAGAAGAGTCCATCATACTTCCCCAATAATTTAGTATCAGAACCCTACCCCTTTTATTAACTGGACCTGCTTGCTTTCAGTTATAAAAAATGGTTCTATTGTTTAATATGCACCACTTAAGTAAGAAATTTTAGTCTGAAATCCACTGCATATTTTACCAGAATTTATGTCCCTCTTGACATAGGGGAAATTGCTTAAAAGTAAATACGAATAGAATTCAGTTGCATGTTTTTGGATTACAAATTGCATTATAGTAGACTTTATTTTATCATACTGCTTGTATTTATTTAGTTTCTGACCTTTTTAACAGGGAGATTACTAGTCTGTTTCCAAAGGATATTAATACATAAATAATCTCAGTAAAGACTCTATGGATTTGAAGATTCCTAAATATTCACATGAAGTTCCAGTATTAGGATTGGCTGCAATACTGATAGGTAACAAAGGCCTAGGAAAGAGGTTATTCTGTAAACCAATGTTAGGATTGGGGTGACTGTTGAAGTTCAGGTATTATATTGATCTTCTAAAATAGAGATATAAGAACATGTAAAGTAGCTTTGTGATGGCAAAGCACTGAATTTATTAAAAATAGGTAGGATTAATTCACCAAGTATGATACAATTCATGATTCTGTCTGAGTTTTCCCTGGGTACATTGGACTTCAACCCTATAATTCCAAGCCAATTTACTCTTTCAAATTAGGAGCACTAGACGTGTCCAACTGTAGCTCCTATCATTTCTACTCCCCAATACACATACTATCAGTAATTGTGAGTGTTATACAGCAAGAGACTAGGGAACATCTGACTGGGGAATGTTAGATCAAGCAAATTAATCTTAGCATCATTCTTTTGTCACAGAAGATACGGCCTTATTAGCATTTAGGACAATATTAATTAATTAGTCTCTGAAAATATTCCATTTCATGCTTAGATATGATTATTACATCTCATATGAAAAGCCAGTTAACAATAAAACATCTGTTCTCTGTCCCTGCAAATGAACTTTTGTACTGTTAATCATTTTGAACTGCTGTTTTTTGTTTACTGGGCTAGATGTGATCTTTGAGGAAGGGCTGAGATCCACAAAGTGGGAATATAGTTGATGATAGCATTCCATCAACTTGAGTTCCAGTTTTCCCTCTGGGAAACAGTAATTTTGTTTGGATTTCAGAAGCCAATAGCTTAGTAAAGCAAGACAACTTTAGACAGAAGGCATTAATAAAGGGAAGAATGTACATGAACCCTAAATTTGCAGCTTTTAAGGAGCAGTATACATATTCCATTATCTTTGTGATATTTATAACAAAGAAATAAAATTGAATGGGAGGGGAACTTGTATTTCAACTTGTACATTTCTAGAGATAAAAGTCTTATTTCATTGTCTTAATTTGAATCATAGGGAAAAAACTTTGTTTTTAAGGATCACACAATTATCAGTTGTCAATATCTTCTCATTACCTCTTTCTGCTCTCCACAACAAATTATTGTTCTTCATATTATTTACTTGTCAAAAGGTTTGGGTTAGGAAGTAGTTTGTGGAGTTACACCCATGTATAGTCAAATGGAACCCTTTTCCTAGTTTTAAAATATGGGCAACATAAATTTGCTCAACCACTTTATCCAAATTATTGGGACAGATTTCAAGCTCTCCTGATGTATTTCTATCACTTGTCATCTTTTATTTGTTCCTTGGTTTTTCTCCAGCTCTGTTTCTACTTGACTTTAGAATATAATTGGATTCTATCTACCAAACAACCAAGCTAACTTATTAAGGCAGGCTTACATTTAAATGTCAAAGCACTTGTATGTGAATATTCACTTATTTCTGAAACTCTTCATTATGTTCTGCTAAAATAGAGTTCTTGCTTTGGCCAGAGGCAAAAACATCCAGTCTGATGTTATACTTAAAAACTAGCTAGAGAGAGTACTTTTTTCAAGTCTATATAACAAATTAATTAATTGTTGGCTTCAGGACTGTGACCTTAAGAAGCAAGATAGAATAATTGCTTTAGGAGTAGATTTCAGAATTGGCATCACTGTTCTTCATCCACTTGAGTTCCAGATGAAAGCCAAATTCTGAAGCATCAAGACTTACTTTTTCCTTACTATTATCTCTATTCATAAAAAGCAAAATTCCTTTTGAAGCATATTACTCTTTGGCAAAGAGCTGAGAATACTACCAGCTGCCATCAAGATTAGGGGCTATTTTCCTAATACTCAAGTAAATATTCTTCTTCTTTCAATGCATGCATATATGTGAAAAAGGAATTCCAGCCCACATTCCATTTAATCATTGTAAATTATTCCATCTAAATATGGTATGTACAAGGGTAGCTTTATGCATCTGATACAAGAAACTATTGTATATAGTTCTTGGTTCAAACAAGAGTTGATTACTGGATTAGTCCATTTCCTGATTTCAGAATACATTGAATCATAAAGTAATCAAATGGACAGAACTTCTCGTACAAAATATAATCCTTGTAAAAATAACCAAGCCTAGCATATTTTGTGAATCCAGCATCTCATTTTGTACTGACATGGTCCAGATATATTATGCAAATTCATCTGTATATTCAGAACTATCCACATTAATATTGTTTACACCAGACTTTATAACTGATATTCTTGAAATATATTGGTCCATCTCCCATAACATACAGCCAACATGGTCAAAGGTTGGGTGTTATGTGGAAGTAGTCCAATACATATGTCAGGAACTAAGCTAAAAGAAGCTGTTTTGCATTGAGTAACAAAAGATCTCCAGATAAATTTTCCCAGACATTTTTGAAATGTTGGAATTTGAACTAGGACCTTTTGCATTTCCAGCATGTGGCTTAACTATGAACTTCCTTCAGTCTCTTCTATTGAAGATTCTCAGAATGAAAATAAAGAAGTCAGTCTAAAAAGCCTCTTAACCACAATCACTTGAGTAAATTTAAAGTAGTTAAAGTAGTTAGAGAGAGTTTTCAATTTCTGTACAAGTCCAGTTTGGATGACTGGATTCCATCCTTATATGATGTGTTGGTCGATCTGTTGATGTTCTGCTGTTTTGAACAACTTTGGGAGGCATTTGTACACATGTAATACTAGGGCAGGAGTCTGCAACCTTAAACACTCAAAGAGCCATTTAGACCCATTTCCCAAAGAAAAGAAAACACCGGGCGCCACGAAACTTCCCATGCCTGACTATTTCTTGAGCGGCCACAAAACTAGCATATGTAGTTGAATTAAATGTTCTGTTTTCTTCAGAAACTTTACTTTTCTTGGATTTATCCATGGTTGGCCTACCAGGGGTTGAAAAGCTCAATAAATCGTGTGCTGGTGGATGTCACACGTTGGTGATTGTGACGCATATTTTGAGTGACAGAGCTGCAGCAGAGGGGTGAAAGAGCCACAGGTTGCTGACCCCTGTACTAGGATCTAAGTTCCCAGTGCCTTTCATATGACTTTTTATTTCTTCGGTCTGTGGTACCCAGAGTGTACTTAATTTCACTGAACTTGTCAGTGAATAATGTACTTCTGTGTTAGAGATCAGAAAGAGGGACAAAAGATGGGTTCAGGAGAAGCCAAGAAGAAATAACTCTGTATCTATGGGTCTTCCTGTGAATTAACCACCTCAAGCAATCTCAGTGTCTATACTTCTGTTTCAGTTTTAAACATCTTGCTACTATGAAAAGCCATGTTCTGGTATATACCACTTGAGGTTAGGTTGATAGTTGCCACTTTAGTGAGCTACAGTTTGAGGCTGAATTCAAACCAGATGTTTATTTTTCTGTCAGGAATTTTCTTTTTCATGTTGTCTAGGGAGCATTGGGTAGTAGGAAGGGGGAGAAACAGAGATGGAAATAGAAGCAAATTTTTTATGAAAATAAGATATATTTTTGAGGTTGGAAAAGGAAGAATCATGCAGGTAATGAGAACAAAAAGCAATGAATAAATTTCCAAATGGGTAAGGTGTTAAACACCCCCTCATTCCCATGAGGAAAAACAATTTAGAGACTGAAAAAAGCATGCATTGCAAATTGTTGAATGGCAAGGAGGCATATGAGTACAGAACAACTGGATTTCATTAAGCCTACAGAAATTGAATAATTTAATAGCTTGCACATATCTTCTACTTCAGAATATCCTCTTCAGGTATAGAACATTTTACTCCTTTCTATACTGACGCTTGTACAGTAACACTTAGTTTTATTGAAAATAATAATAATAAATAATAATAATAATAATAATTTTATTTCTATACCACCCTTCTCCCAAAGGACTCAGGGTGGTGTACAGCCTATTAAAAGCACAAAGACAAACAACAATTAAAATTATTTAAAATTATTAAATAATTTCGGCTCAATATTAAAACCCCCCAAAATTTAAAACATCCAATTTAAAACCATTACATTGATAGCCCGGCCTGGCGGAACAGCAGGGTCTTAAGGGCACAGTGAAATACCCTGAGGTTGGAGATCTTACGCATTTCCAGGGGCAGTTCATTCCACAGGGCTGGGGCTCCCACAGAGAAGGCCCTCCCCCTGGTGTCGCCAGCCGACATAACTTGGCCGATGGCACCCTGAGAAGACCCTCTCTGTGGGAGCGAACTGGCCAGTGGGAGGCTACTGGTGGCCGAAGTCAGTCTCGAAAATGCTATTGTCCTAAGATTATTTTATTTGCAGGAGAATTTCTATCTCTGGAGGAAAGGAAATGATCACAGTTCCAACTTGATGTGCTCCAGACATTTATTCATTTTAGTTTTTAGAGTCTGCCCAACTCAGAGGATCTGAGCAGATAATAACATATGAAAATTATAAAAGCAGCCATAGAAGTAAATAAATAAAATCTCACATAATAAATCTCTGCCAAAATAGAAACTTAACTAGGGTTGAAATAAATCTGTCTTTAAAGATCTTCTAATAATCAAGCAGAGGGAGTTATAAGACCTTAAGGGAATGAAAGTTTCAAGTGGATTAACAAATTCCAAGCATGCCTACATGAGATTGAAGACATTTAGGATAGGATATTTGCATCTATGGATTTTCATTCATCTTACCATAAATGAAATTCTAATTGAGAACTATTTTATATGCATGTGTTGTATAAAAGAACAATTTTACCCCTTTGGAAAAATTAGGTTATTTTCATAGCTATTATACTACATAGATATCAAAATTGATAAAGTTTTGGAATGTATTTCACTGTGAAGGATTGATGCAAAAATATTTTATGTATTTTTGGACAGACATTTATATGTATACTAACAATGTTGGTTTGTGAAATAGCCAATATATTCAGCAATATCTTGGGAAGAGGGTTGGGAATCCAAATCTGCAAAATGGTCCATTACAGTGCAGTGTCATTATACAAACGTCATTCTATTTTATATGTTTTGCCATAGCATGCCTATTCAAAAGATGTAAGTTTGTATCATAATGTGTACACTTTTTCAAGTATAAAGGGCATAAATGTGTGTTGTATTTTGAGTTATCGTTTTTTTTTCCTTTTTCTTCTCATCTATGCATATGTCTCTTTTCTTTATTATATTAAACGAAGTACTTTAAGATATTGGCACCTTGCAACTCTTTTTTAAGGCCACAAGGAAGGGAGTTCTTTCTGTGTGCATAAGTGATTATTTACTATTGTTACTTATTCTCCTAAAATCCAAAATACTGGGTCTGCTTATTCTCCTAGCAATAATTAAAAATAAATGCAAGTAATCAAAATGTAAGAACTCCAATCTGGTTTTAACTGAAATCCTTTGCTGTGGCACATAATTTTGTCAGAGAGAGACAAAACACTAATTTTACTAGCAAGCTCTAGGAGTGGCCGATGACAGGGAGCCAAAATGAAAAATGAATTAGATAAAAGCCTAGAGATTTTTGAAAGATGAAAGAGAAATATCCAAAATTTTCAGAAAGACCAAACATTGAAAGATAAAAACAGCAACACCAAGAAACAGTCTTTACCCTCAAATTAGTCATGTGGCAATGGAACATTTCATATCAGCTAAGGGGTGGGGGAATGAAATATTGGGTAAAGGGATAAAGGGATGAGGCCTGATCATTTTTAAAATTCAAGATAAAATGATGAATGACTTTAATCAGGAACACTCCTCCTGCATGGATTTAAGGCTGCTCAGATTATCTGTTGCCCCACTATCATGTTCCCCGGATAATTTCCCTGGATAAATAATAGCCATACCAAACTGATTGACACACAGCTGAATCACACTATATGGATCATATAGGGTACAATAACATCTACCCCCACTTTCTGGTTACTAGTTTTGAGCCATATGCCTCCACCTCATCTATGAAGGGAAAACACTTTACTGTGAGAGTATAAGAAAATAATTAGTAATACTCACCTATCAATCAATGTGGATATTACTGATGCTATAAATAACAAGTTTCATTCCAGACACTTATTAAGACAGTCAGAAACTTGCTGGATAACAACTTCAATCTGCTTCAGGCCTGGACGCAAGAATGCTGCTTGAGTGCCTGCAAACCATCGCCTAAAATGGTTGCCAAAGTCTCTATCACACTTGCAACCTTACGCTCAACATGAGAGTCTCTTAAATTTTTAGCAGAAGTCACTGATGTCATCAAGGGAGCTAAAGTCTTTATAGCCTGATCTATGATGGCTTCAACAGCAGGTGGCGCAATGTCAACTTGGCCATGCTGGTTTAACAAAGAAGCAGGAACATTTGAATCAGGCAGTCTGTTATCCCCCATTACCCACTTATGGTCTGAGGTGGGGGTTTTAGGAAAAGATTGAAAGTCTCTTACCGATCCGGTGTTTTGTAGGACTTCGATCTTCTTTCCTTTCACGGCTGAATTCTTTAATAATTCACTAGAATCAGCAGTCGGGTTCTGACTTACTGTGGACAAACCTAAAAACTGAAGGATTGCCTTCCTAAACTCATCATCCACCTCTGTATTTGTTTTCAAGACCTGAAGTGGCGTTCTTCCAGTCTCTACTTCTTTTGGTGATGATGGTTTATTCACTATCTTAGGCCCTTCAGAAGTTGAGGCCTCTGCTCCAAAACTTATAGCTCCACTATTCTCTAAGTCAATTAGAGTTTGGGGTTTTTCAGCCAAAACATTTTTGGCCTGAGCCCCAGACAGTCCAGTTTGTGACTTCATACTTTGTGCTGCTGCTGCTGCCCTAGTCAACATCTATTCAACTGCAGACATTCCAGTCTAGCGCGTTACCACATGAGCGTAAGTTCGTTAAACCATCCTCTGCTACCAACTGTGACGAAATGGGGTTGAGGGGTACCCCGGACCGTGAACCAGCTCATGAGTAAACACACTGAGACTGAAATGATTCTGACAGAGGCGTCTTGTGTAAAAATATAATTTACTTTAAAACATTTAAAAAGCACTATGTCTTTAAGAAAACACATTAAAAACAAAGTCTTATCTGGGTATGTGAAACAAGGCTATCTCCCTAGATCCCTCTCCACAATACCGAAACAGTTCACAAAAGAATAAAGCTAGCATGAAGGTAAGCAGCTTCGGCGTCGATACATCATCAAGGCCATCATGGTGGGAGCAGCACGAGCTTCACAGCTGAAAGTCACCTGAAGTAAAAACAGTTCAAAAAGCAAACATTGCTTGAAGCTTGTGGGAGGAAGAAGGTCCAGCAACAGCAGTCCCGATGATAGCTTGCGTGCTACAAAACAGCAAAAGGCAAGCATCCGTGGGAGTCTCTCTGTAGTGGCGTCTGGAGTCCTTATCTGCATTCTTCTCCCATCTGCGGCGTTGCAACAAGCTTCCTGCAGGAGCTGTGCATTTAGGCCTGGATTAGACTAGGCCCAGGTAGCAAGCAAAAGGTCCTTGCTTATATAGGGAGTTAACCTGCAATTAACTAGGGCGGGGAAGGCTTGCAGGTAATTGCCAACAGCAGATGGCTTGATTAAAACCATACTGTTTGTGAGTAGGCAGATAGCCACAGCAATCCTGGAAACACTCGTGACAGTCTATGGCTTCTCCAGAATGTCACAACATTCCCTGCTTTACAGCTGAACTGAAAGGATTCAATGTACCTTGTAAGACCTGGTCAATCCTCAACAGGATTAGGCTCCAACATGGCAGGTGTGCTAGTCATGTAGGTGTTATTGAGAAAAGCTCTTCTCTTCAGAATGTAACCGTGGTTTTCCAAAGCATACGGTGCAATATATTGTGAAACAGGGCCTTCTAAGTGCATTTTGGGGAAAGCCCAGAGACTTTCTGTATGCAACTCCACATTGTATTGATTATATAAATAGTCTACCTTTGAATTTGTAAATAGAGTAAACAGTTTCATATTTGCTCATTGACAATGTAATTGTGATATGATTTTTAACAATTTTGCCATATGCTAAATAAATAAATAAGACTACCACACCATGTTAAAAATATTTCACAGTTTTTCAACTTATTTTTGAAGGCGTCTAAAAAAGTGACAATTTTCATACAAGGCTGTGCCAAAAGAGGGACAGATTTTTAAAACACCATGTCAGATTCAAGGATCTTTCTTGGAAGCAATGAGTCCTGACTTTTCTTGTCATTAAGAGGGATAGTGGAAGAATCAATCCAATAGGCAGCAGTTCTTTGTTAAATTGAAATTGTTTAGCTGATATGGCCAGTGAAAGAAAATAATACATTTTTTTGTGATGGCTGTATGATCATCCCTGGATACAATCAGGCTCACAAAAAGGTAAAGAATAATTTTAATTCTTGTAATACAGGTATTTGAACCACTTTTCACCCATCCAGCTTTTTTTTAAAAATGCAGATTATTGTTGATCTAGGAGGTCTTAATATCAAAATCCCTAGGAAAGGATCGATGTTCCAAAGCAATAGGTAATCTTTAAGCATTTGTTTTATTGCCCTCAGACTACTGAAATCTGACAGCAGACTTGTGTTCAGATGTGTGATTTCCTGATGATTTTTAAAATGAATATATAGAAGATATGTAAGCACTGTGAGATATTTAACATACGCACACAAAATTTAAAATCCCTTTGTCCTTGGAAACCTAAAGATGCAACAAAGTCCTGACTGAATTACTTATGATGATGTCAGATAATGCCTCTGCCCAGTGAAAAACAAAAACTACAAGTTCAACTGCTGCAGTATTAAGGGATACCAACAGATCGCCTGAAACATGAAAGTGAACCTTTCTATGAACTTGCTGTGCTACATAAAGAGTTGGACTCTATGGTCCAAAATGGCCTCTTCTAGCTGTATCACTTTGAGGGGTGCCAACTTGTTTGTTTGACAATAACTCTATGACTTACAAAAAATTGCATTCTCTACTTTCTAAATTTTGATAAAATTAAGGATGAAATAATTTTTTTTCCTGGGAGTGAAAATAATGGTTTCGTCTGCTTATCAGTAGTATAGATCCACGTATTTCCACAATTGTTTTACCTAGTTTATTATCCTATGCAAATGCCTTCTTGGCTACAGTTTCATTAAATGGACCTTTTCATTCTTCATGACTTCTTCTACTTTCACTGAAAGACTATAGTATTCTTGTTCTGACATGCAATTGTCTGCATTGTCCCTGTTTAATCTTAAAATACAAAAAAATACAAGCTCAAAATTCATAGCATGTTTTGATATCAAATCCCTCACCCTATCACCTGGCCATGCAGATTGGGACTTATGAATCAAACAATTGGGAAATATCAGCTTGCCCTCTTTTGTTTTATTGAGGACAATAAACATGTAGAAATACAACAATGACATTTTTGTAATAGGGAAGTGATTTACCACAGGAATCTTTTGAGTCGTCCCCCCCCCATGCCTAATCTAGCCCACAGTCCTGGGACTTTTTCCTATTTTCTCAACCAAGTACTAACCAGATCTGATTCTGCTTAGCTTTGGTAGAATAAAAGAAATGACTTAATTATGAAATCTCAAATCTTATAGGACTCTATGGAAGACTACATTTGAAAATTCCTGTGTTTCTGCATGCCGATGTTTTGCCTGCAGAGAGAAAACTAACCATTTCCCAGACCCAAACAATAGCATATTGACTATGAGGCTGAAATTGAACAGTCAGTTGCCCCCCAGCTGCAGATCTGGTATGACAGAGATAACCAATTTAGCTTCTATAGCAGTTTGCTAGTGAGCTACGACTTTTAGATAGTTAAGTCTGTGCAACAAAATTTCATTACTCTGGATTTAATACGGAGTTGCTCTCATTATTGTGAAATCTTTATGTTGCTATACTGTTAGATGATAGTAAAGCACAATTAGACAAACCCAGGTTAGACTTCATTGCTTATTATTCAGAATGGCTTTTATAGTGCTGCCTGAGAATATCAGCCTTTAGTTTTTAGGGCTCAAGATTTTATCTAAAGAAACCTGATGCCACCTTGTGGATCTAGGATTTATTGCAAAAGCATATTCTAACTTCTTTGTAGAGAAGGCCAAACTTCATACTATTTTGGGAGATAAAGAGGAAACCAGA